TAAATGCAGGGGATGAATCTCGGTACATGTATGTGTATGTGACAAAATGAAGTACCTTTACCTTTACCTTTATCTTTATCTTGACTGGATCTCCCAAATATAGAAAAATATTATATTGGTATAAATTCAAGATACCCCTAAAAGGTTCAGTTTGTAAGTTTAGTGGCATCTAGTGATGAGGGCTGAGAATTGCAAATGACGTCGTTCTTCCAACATCCGTGTGTGTTCATGTGCGATTAAGGTGAGACACTGCAGGTGAATTGGATAAAAAAAAAGAAAATTGATAGATATCACCATGAAAGTTTCCTAGTTGTTTACTTACATTAATTTAGACAATATTTTTTGTAGTACAGGTTTTCTGAAATATTATGTTATGTTATGTTATTATTATGCTTAAGTTCAGTTAAATTTGATGGTGACCGTTTGTAGACTGCTATATTCAAGTCATTCCACAGATTTTCAATGGGGTTTAAGTCTGGGCTCTGACTAGGCCATGCAAGGACATTCACCTTTTTCTCATTCAACCACTGTGTGGTCAGTTTTGCTGTGTGCTTTGCGTCATTGTCATGTTGGAAGGTAAATCCCATTGACAACTTTCTGGCAGAGAGCAGCAGATTTTCCTCAAGAATTTGACAGTATTTTGCCCCATCCATTTTTCCTTCTATCCTGACTAGTACTCCAGTCCCTGCTGCAGAGAAACAACCCCATAACATGATATTACCACCTCCATGCTTTACTGTAGGAATGGTGTAATTTGGATGGTGAGCTGTATTGGATTTTCGCCAGACATATCGTTTGGCGTTGAGGCCAAACAATTCAATTTTAGTCTCATCTGACCATAACACCTTTTTCCACGTGGCCTTAGAATCTTCAAGGTGCATTTTGGCAAAGCTCAGTCGTGACTGCATGTGGCCTTTCTTGAGGAGTGGATTTTTTCTTGCAACCCTCCCATACAGGCCACATTTGTGGAGAATTTGTGATATTGTTGTCACATGCACACAATGACCACTCTTTGTCATGAATTCCTGCAACTGCTTCAGAGTTGCTGTAGGCCTTTTGGTAGCCTCTCTGACCAGTTTCTGCCTAGCTCTTTCGTCCAGTCTGGAGCGACGTCCTGACCCAGGGAAGGTCAGTTGAAAGTCAATTGGCTTTGTGTGCTATTGAGAAGGTGATTAACTACACCTGGTTGGGTTTACAAGTCATTTTTAGGAGGGGGGTGATTCTTTTTCCAACTCAGTGATTTTTTTTTTCTGACAAGTTGGTATTATATCTTTCACTTGGATGTTATAAGTTGCACTCAGTAAATACAGCTGAATGAAACAAAAACTGTGTCTGTCTTCATTTCAGGCTCCAAAGCAACAAAATGTGATTATTTTACAGGGGGGTGATTCTATACCCACTGAATCTAAGATTATTGTAGAGAATATCCTATTAGATCCTAAATTATGCATTTTGAATTATATGGATGACAAAAGTTGGCCAGATTTTAAGAAAAAGATTGTGTTGGTTGGATAGCTGTTAATTATAAGACAGTAATATCATTTTTTGTCCTGTACTTGAACTAATATGCAGTATTTGTCTCATCCCTGTGCATGAATCTAAATGAATGAATGAATAAATAAATAAATACATTTGAAAGTGTATTAATTATTAATGCCCATTGGCCAAGATAAAAAACCTCTTAGTTCCTTTAAACTTGATGTTTTTTTAGTCAAACAGTGACAGGATGACAGCTACATTTAAAGTTCAAAATAGTTGTGGTGTGACTGCAATGCTGTAAGAATTTGATTAGTCAAATCACATATAAAATTCTGGTGGTTTTTGTGGTGAAGCTTCTCAGAATCTGCCCATTAGATAAATGTATATTCAACCGAGAGCGATTGCTCTCTAACTTTCCTTTGACAGGGTGTTGCTGGGTGCTGTTAACATCCTGTTTTCACCAAAGCAGTGACAAAGATCAAACCATTAGCCTTTAGGTTACACAGATTGCGTGAATGCTAACTAGCAAATGTTAGCGTGCTAAAAAACAAAACCGTGATTCTGAACATAATACCTGCTGAACATCAGTAGCATGTAAGCGCTGTCATTGTGAGCATGTAAGCATGCTGATGTTAGCATTTGCTGTCTGTGCCTGTCTCAGTCAACATTCGCTTCGTATGAACATATACATACCTGGTACAGATATTTTCGGACGAAGAAATCTGCCGTGTAGTGTGTGATGCTGTTGACATTATGCACGTTCCCCCGGCAGTGCCCAGCTGCGAGCTTGTGCATAATCACGGCAGCAATGGCATGGTCCTTCTGTGCGTCCAGGGGTTCCCCCTTGGTTCACAGAAGCCAGGCTGTGTCAAATGAGCCCTTGAAGCTGTCATTACGCTTCATGCAGACAGGATAGCACTACACGCCACCCTGCGTGGGCCTTCATGCAGCCTGGCTCCGATGTCGCAGGCAGACCTTTTCCTCTGTTGCCTGTCCCTGCCCACCTCCCCCTCGTTGGAGGAGCGGCATTGTTACGGGCTCACCTCGTGCCCTGGCGACAGTGTCTGCCTCTGCCTCCTTCCCCCCACCGGGGATGCGGTACGGCAGGGGAACCACGCTACCTCTTGTGGTCCCTCCACACATGAGAGGACACCCAACAGACCCCTCTGACTGTGTGAAGGTCTCTCACGATGTGGCCCACGCCCCATGGGTCGTGGCTGGGCACCCCCCCTCCACCTGAACCGTGACGGCGGCAAGGGCAGCAGAGTGGCTTCCCTTCAGGGCCACCAGGGCGCCTCATCAGCAGGTCCGACCGCTTTTTAGAGACGCTACTCGGAGTGGCTTGCTTCCTGCTTGATACACAGATGGATGGACAGCCTGATCCGCTGGATCAAAGACTGCAGTTTGCCTCCCCCCCTCCCCTCCCCTGTGCCCTCTGGGCGGAGTTTCAGGAATAAGGGGTTCTACTCCTGCTACTTCCTGGTCAGGAAGAAGACAGGTGGTGAGAGGCCCATCCTGGACCTGTCACGGTTCAACAGGTCGATTATGGTGAGACCTTTTCGCATGTTAACAATGAAACAGGTGATGGAGTGTGCGCCAGGGAGACTGTCTCTCCTCCATCAACCTGAAGGAAACGTACTTTCTGCGGTTTTCTTTCCAGGGTGCCCAGTACTACACTATACAACCGCCTGCCCTTCGGTAACTCCCTGGCCCCGCGCACTTTTTGTGGTGGTGCAGACGGCCCAGCTAGTCGCACACCTGTCTTACCTGGGGCTTCACGGTGAACTGGAAGAAGAGTGCTCCTCTCCCCTCCCAGAGACTCCCCTACCTTGGCGTGGTACTGGACTCCTCTCTCCGGAGAGTGCGGCTCTCTCTGTGGGAGCTGCTCTGCCGGGTTGTCCCTCGAGCAGCGGTGGCAGCTCTGTCGGTCATGAGGCTTCTGGGCCTCATGTTGGCGGCTCACGTGGTGTTCCCCCTGTGCCTCCTCCATATGAGGAGGCTGCAGCGCTGGTTCATCTGCCCACGTGTCGACCCGATGAGATAGAGGCTCCTGATCTGGCCTACTGGCGGGACCCCCTCTCTCTTTCGGTCGGGGTTCCCCTGGGCAGGGTCACGTCCCATATCTCGGTCTTCACAGACGCCTCCCTGATGGGCTGGGGCGGGACCTGTCTTTCTCAGGTGGTGGGCGGTCTGTGGCAGGGCCACTCCACATAAACGTGCTGGAGCTCCTCACAGTGTGGAAGGTGATCCGACATTCTCCCCTCTGCGAAATAAAACGGGGGTTACGTACTGTAACCTGGATTATATGAGTATAGGTACAGCCCTCTAAGTTTTCAGTGCTGAAGAAAAGGCATTTGGGAGCCGATGGCTGGGTCTCACCGTTGTATATATACAAGGTGCGGACGTAGGAGAGGCCCACGCTGTGGTTGGGCGTAGACTAAAATTCTCAGTGCCGCGTAGGCGCGCGGAAGGGGAAAACCCAATAGCGATAGCCTTAGAGGGCTGCGCCTATACTCATAGAATCCGGGTTACAATACGTAACCCCCGTTACAATGGTTGATATTTTGCTTCATTACCATGAAAACACACAGTATAGTTGATGTACTCCTGTTTTAGTAATGTTAGCTAAAAACGAAAGTGCCAAATGTTTTAGGAAAACAAACTATGTTCATGATCTGTTTTGAAAGATTTACATCTTCAATAGGAACCAATAGTCTCAGGGCGGAGTGAACAATTTAATCAATTTATTAATTCTAAATGACAAATTTGAATAGAGACCTCAAATTTCAAGCAATATCCAAATTAATTTATACTACGCAGACATTGGGGATACAGGGCAGTGCGAGTACACTGATCCTCAGACTGGTTTAGCTGAGTGGATGATAAATCTCACACAGTGGTTTTAATGGTTGACTTTGACAGATTTTATAAATGAGCCCTGGTGGAATGCTGCCATAATGAAAATTACCATTTTGGTTTCATATGAGCTAAACTGAGGACATAATTCAATTTTTAAAGCCTAAATTTGTAATTTTCTATTAATCACTTTGGCAGTTTGCATTTTCCAAAGTAAAATGGATAATTCAGTTATTAATTTGGCCATACATCATGCACAAACATGCACATGAAATTTAAATAACATTAAATTATGAAAATTTTATGTTTACAGCCCAGGATTTATGTTGTAGGGACATAAATTTAATCCGAGACCCTCTTAGTGAGAAACCTGCAAAACTCCAACAGACATAGCTGCCTATGGGCAGCAAATGCGCAAGAGTGAAAACATTCACAGCTCATTCACTTAATCACACAACTAACACCATGTTCAGTCTTGAAACTTTGTTGTAACCACAAGCTGACATGATTAGTAGACATATGTGCCAAGACGCAGCAGGTCTCATGTAGCATCTGGAACCAATAGTTAAACAGATGAGTAAAGTGTTGTTGTTCAGGATATATGAACCTCTAAGAATTCTGGTTGAAATAGAAAATGGGCCACTGTAAGACAAAAGCATCATGAGTCCTTTTAATTGTCTTTTTAATACTTCAATGGGTTTAGGACAAAATTGCATCATGACACGAAAACATCACAAACACAACAAACATCCTTTATGCACTTACGACTTTCACAGATACACATAAATAAGGCTTACAAAGTACATGAATCATATAAGCTATTTACACAGAATGTCCATGGACAAAATGTCAGTGATTTCTTTCTTGTGTGCAGTTCACAACCTCAAGCTATTACCGCTAACTAAACAAAACCTTTAAAAAAAATTAAAGGTAGCACCCCTTATTAAAAAAGTTGTGGGTTTGTGGTTTAATAAAAACAAAAGTTAGCTACTCTCTCTGCATCTCTGAAGCATGTTTCATTTTTTCCCCTCTTTACAGGGAGACTACAGCAGAGAGCAGGCACTTGCTTTTTCGGTCAATAAAGTGTCCTTGTGACCGACTGTTGTCCCAGCTCTGCTTTAAGGCCTGCCGGTCCAACTTGTTGACTCCCTGAGAGCAAAGACGGAGATCCTTGACCCGCTCTGACAAACCATCCAGAGCTGCACTGTCCCAGGGGCCAGACACCTGACAGCCTGTGGGAAAAGCAACAAGCAGAAATTCACAAACTATATTTGATTACTGCCGCTGTTTCTTTCACAAAAAAAATTCAGCATCCAAATCTAGCCAGTGACCACATGTCCCAGGTCATAAATCTAAATATTACAAAACAGCCTCACAAGTATAAACATATTATACAAATTTAAACAAACTTAACCCAAACAAAACATAATCTAAATGTTTACATCAATATATTAGTCAGTTAAAACATTGTATATCTAATTCAGTTCATAGTCTGTCATCCATATTAACTAAAAGTATGAGAATTTTATCCATTTTTATATTTCATGCTTCACACACACACACACACAAAACTGCTATAACATTATGAAAAAAACACTTCAATTAAAGCTCATTCCTCAATTCTAATCAAATCTTATTCCGACTTTAACTTTACACAATATTTGTGACAAATCAAAGAATTTTGTTGTCCACCTCACTCAATTCACAATTTTCACAATCCAGTATCAACATGTAGTAGAAAGTATCGTATCTGTGCAGTGATCTCTTACTTTCAGGTAAAATATATATCTTTTTGATCAATGAAAAATCATTTTAAAAAGGCAGAGAAGAAGGCTGCTAGCAAACAAGCACCTTTATAAGGTCTCAAGAGACAGTGAATGACACCTCACTGTTTAAACTCCACCTGTAACTTATGACCCAAACACACAACATATACACACACACATATTTACCTTGAAGGTTTAGAAGGGTTAAAGGTCGACACGCCTCTCTGAGAGAGATCAGAATGTTGTGAAGTCCTGCCGAGGTAACAGACGGGTTTCCTGATAGGTTCAGACTCACCAGAGTCAGACAAGAAGGCAGGCACCTTGGAGGGAAAACCAAAAAGTTTGAAAGAGAAACTGATAACTGCAAAGGCAAATAAAGGATGGCAGAACAAACCACAGACATCTCTACTGAGAGACCTTTCACAGAGAGAAAGAGCTCCTTGTTAAGTTAAAATGGCATCACTAATAACATAACTCTGAACACTTGTTCAAAGATTAACAAAGACCTTTGGCGGCATGCTTAGAAGCCATATCTACACCATAACTATGAATCATGCATGTTCTCACAGAAAAACACGGCAGCAGACTCACAAACACACACCTGGCCAATGCGGCTACGCTGCTGTCTGTCAACCCGTTTGCTGCCAGACTCAGGTGCGTCAGTGAACACTCGTCCTACGAGGAAAAACACATTTTTTATTTGCTTCTACTGTAAAGCGCGCGCACGTGTGTGTGTGTGTGTGTGTGTGTGTATACCTGTGACAGAATGTTGGTGAGGTGTTCCAGCGGTAGATAATCCGCTGGATCCCTTCGGACAGCAGACAGGTCCAGGTGTGTGAGAGAGTGCAGAGGCAGAGTCTTCAACACCAGCTCAAAGCCAGTGGAGCCCAGTGCATTGTGGGATAGACACACTGATTTCAGGTGGCCCGTGCCTGAAAGATCAAAAAGGACATTTAAATATTTACTCGCTCTGAAATAAATTGTCGGGCTCCATCTCCTTTGTCTCCATTTTTAGCCAGTTACAAAACGTGACACTTCTTGTTAGTTAAAGCTCTAAACAGAACTTTATCAATACAAGGATATGATTAATACAGGACGCTGATGTTGACAGCTTTATTGATTCTGCTTATCACAAAATTAGCCACTTACCATAAGCTCTAATTTAAAAATCAAAGCAAACTACAACTTTACCCATCCCATTAACTCATCTCTTATCTAAAAATCCAGTGGCGTTTCAGTGAGGCTCCGGCCTGTGAGAGAGTTACCTGTCAGGGCGCTGGCAAGCAGCAGTCGATGCTGCTGTAGGAAGCGAGCAGTGAGGCCACAGGCCTGCAGGGACAGCTTGGCTAACAGGGGGCAGCAGGACAGCAGGCAGGACAGGGACTCAGATACACCGTCACCCAGCGGGTTCATACTGAGGTCGAGCTCCTCCAGGCACTACGAGAGGAAACGTCCACACATAGCAACGTGCACGAGAGAGAATTCTACATAAAATTACATTCATATTAAATGGGTGATGTGTCATTCTCGCATGTGTTGGAAACTTGTGCAAGATGTTTGAGATGACTGTTTCAACACCGTGGTTTGTGACACAGTGAGGGTCTTGTCACACTAACCAACGAGCTAATAAAGACTAACAAACTTCGTGAATACGAGCATAATAACAAATGCATTTCCTGTAGTAATTGGTAATCAAAACCAAAACAAACTGTTCATCGCCGGGAAGCAACTAGTAAACTTGAAAAATAATTTAACTTGTGCCTGCTTTTTCATGCAGTGTAACATCTGAATCTAGTGTGTCACCACAGCAAGAAAACAGTGGTACCACTAATAGATACTAAACCACAAAGAAATGCTTACTCACTGCTTGTCTTTGTCACATAGATGGGTTTCAGATTCTGAGATAACCAGTTCGAAGAAACTCACATTGTATTTTTGGTGGCAGACATTTCATATAAATCACATAAGACAGACATACACTGCTTTCACAGATACGATTAAAAAGTGTGAGAAAATATGTTTTAAGCCTGAATTTACCCTTTAAAGTTTCAATTACAGGTACTGGTCATATAATTAGAATATCATCAAAAAGTTGATTTATTTCAGTAATTCCATTCAAAAAGTGAAACTTGGATATTATATTCATTCATTACACACAGACTGATATATTTCAAATGTTAATTTCATTTAATTGTGATGATTAAAACTGACAACTAATGAAAATCCCAAAAATCAGTATCTCCAAAAATTAGAATATTACTTAAGACCAATACAAAAAAAGGATTTTTAGAAATGTTGGCAAGTATGAGCATGTACAGCACTCAATACTTAGTTGGGGCTCCTTTTGCCTGAATTACTGCAGCAATGCGGCGTGGCATGGAGTCGATCAGTCTGTGGCACTGCTCAGGTGTTATGAGAGCCCAGGTTGCTCTGATAGTGACCTTCAGCTCTTCTGCATTGTTGGGTCTGGCGTATTGCATCTTCCTCTTCACAATACCCCATAGATTTTCTATAGTGTTAAGGTCGGACGAGTTTGCTGGACAATTAAGAACAGGGATACCATGGTCCTTAAACCAGGTACTGGTAGCTTTGGCACTGTGTGAAGGTGGCAAGTCCTGTTGGAAAATGAAATCTGCATCTCCATAAAGTTGGTCAGCAGCAGGAAGCATGAAGTGCTCTAAAACTTCCTGGTAGACGACTGCGTTGACCTTGGACATCAGAAAACACAGTGGACCAACACAGATGACATGGCTGATGACATGGCTGAGTGATGGCCATCACTGACTGTGGAAACTTTACACTGGACTTCAAGCAACGTGGATTCTGTGCCTCTCCTCTCTTCCTCCAGACTCTGGGACCTTGATTTCCAAAGGAAATGCAAAATTTACTTTCATTAGAGAACATAACTTTGGACCACTCAGCAGCAGTCCAGTCCTTTTTGTCTTTAGCCCAGGCGAGACGCTTCTGACGCTATGTCTTGTTCAAGAGTGGCTTGACACAAGGAATGCGACAGCTGAAGCCCATGTCTTGCATACGTCTGTGCGTGGTGGTTCTTGAAGCACTGACTCCAGCTGCAGTCCACTCTTTGTGAATCTCTCCCACATTTTTGAATGGGTTTTGTTTCACAATCCTCTCCAGGTTGCGGTTATCTCTATTGCTTGTGCACTTTTTTCTACCACATCTTTTCCTTCCCTTTGCCTCTCTATTAATGTGCTTGGACACAGAGCTCTGTGAACAGCCAGCCTCTTTAGCAATGACCTTTTGTGTCTCGCCCTCCTTGTGCAAGGTGTCAATGGTCGTCTTTTGGACAGCTGTCAAGTCAGCAGTCTTCCCCCATGATTGTGTAGCCTACAGAACTAGACTGAGAGACCATTTAAAGGCCTTTGCAGGTGTTTTGAGTTAATTAGCTGATTAGAGTGTGGCACCAGGTGTCTTCAATATTGAACCTTTTCACAATATTCAAATTTTCTGAGATACTGATTTTGGGGTTTTCATTAGTTGTCAGTTATAATCATCAAAATTAAAAGGAATGAACACTTGAAAGATATCAGTCTGTGTGGAATGAATGTATAATTATATAAGTTTCACTTTTTGAATGGAATTACTGAAATAAATCAACTTTTTGATGATATTCTAATTATATGACAGCACCTGTATAATGTATGTAATTGAAACAAACTACTATGTTGATTTCCAACACAATCTGGATCGAAGCAGTGACAGTTAGGGGGCCGCATTATCTTCAAAAGCTGCCTAGCAGCATGAAATCACAGAGGAAACACTGATGACAGCTGGTGGAATAAAAAGATGGGCTCTTTACCGGAAACGCAGGATGGCTCTGTCCCTTTAAAGCATTTACAGCCTTCTCCAGCCCTTCCCCTGTAATGTGACTGGCAGAAATGTCCAGCAGCCGAAGCCGAGGCATGGTGATTGTTGTGGCAACCAGCTCGGGCAGAAGATCATCACTGAGACGGTTGCCAGAAATCCGCAGCTCGGTGAGACTAGCCTGCAATTTTAAGGCACGAAGGAGCGGGTTGAGGGAAGAGGAAGCCAAGCTGAGGCCACACACCGACACGGAGGAGCTCCCATCCTGCACCTCACACAGCCGGGTGATGCGCTTCTTCTCATCTGCGGGGAGACAACGAGATGTCATGCTTCTCGAGAATTGGATATAACGAGATGGGATATAAAAATGTGAATGTCTGCATTTGCGTGTATTTGTGTGTGTTGCTCACCCACTGCCAGGCTGTGACAGGCCTTCTTGTAGCGCTCAGGGAGAGGAGGGAGATCCCAAGAGCAAACTTCAGCCAGAACCTACAACACAACACACCATTATGACTCTGTCCTAAGGAAAATATCATCTTAGAGCAGTCTTTATAAAGGCACTTTTCTCAACACTCAGACTGGCCTCACCTCTTCATTGGTGTGCAGTACA